GGCTAGCAACAGGACGGAGTTGCAGGAATTAATGAGCATCTGTGGTAGGGAAGGAGAGGAATTAGGTTTAGCATTCAGTGGTGAAAAATCATGTCATGATTTTTAACGATGATGAAGTTGAGAGGCTCAAGATACAGAATATTACAGTTGAGAGAGCTGGTAAATACAAGTATCTAGGAGTATGGATATGTGATGGTGCAGCATATCTCAAGGAGCATGAAAAGTATATAATAGGTAAGGGCAACAGAAATGCAGCTGTAATGAAAAATAGAGCACTTTGGAATTACAACAGGTATGAGGTGGTGAGAGAAATTTGGAAAGGGGTCATGGGTGCCTGGCTTAACTTTTGGAAACGCAGTGCTATGCATGAAATCCGAAGTGCGTGCGAGACTAGAAATAAAACAGTAGGTAGACTGGCTTTGGGGGCACATTGCAAAACGCCAAACCAGGGAGTACAAGGAGACATGGGATGGGCGTCATTTGAGAGCAGGGAAGCGGTGAGCAAGATAGAATTTGAGGATCGGTTGAGGCAAATGGATGGGGAGCAATGGGCACGAAAGGTTTTCAGCTATTTATACATGAGGAGTGTAGACACAAAGTGGAGACAGCGCACTAGGAAATCAAGAGGAAAGTTTTTGGGCTATAGTGGAGATACGGAAGAGCAGGTCTCAGTTAAGAAGAAAGTTAAGGTTACAGAAAGATATCGGTGGTGAGAGTGAATGCAGACAAAGACGGCTCTGGAAAGCTATAGATTAAACAAAACAGTTATTGCCAAAGAAAGCATTTATGACAATTCTAGGGGAAGCCCATTGTTGTTTGAGGCGAGGACGGGTGTTGTGCGAACCAGAACATACAGAGTGAAGTACCAGGAAATGGATGCAGTGTGCACTGCTTGTGGAGAGGAAGACGAGACGGCTGAGCACTTGATACTCTACTGTAAAGGGCTTCACCCTATGCCTACCGAAGACAACATAGATTGGGTTTTAGAGACAGCGAAGGGAGAGAGGATTTCAAGACAGTAGAGATTACCAAGCAAAGATTAAGTGAATGGTGCCGGAAAGCGAGAGAACACTAGGTATTTTCTTATTAACTGATGGCAAGGGAGTTTTATAGCCTCACTTTCTTTGCAGCGCGGAGTGAATATAGATTTCACATTTAAACATTCGAAGCTTAAATGGTAAAACAAAATGGCTAGGTGGCGTAAGCTACCGCCCGATCCAAAGGGCTCAGCCGGATTCATTCATCCATCATCCATCCACCCAGCCAAGTGAGTGCCAGTCAGCGCACCAACACGCGTAGAGCAAGAATGATGTACATGCTTTCGCATTCACAACTCATAAGAAGTGCTTATGTGTACCTCGATCTTTTTTTTTTCTTCCTTTTTTTAATTACGACGCACGAGAGCCAATGGGAGTCTCGTTTCTTGATGACGCGCGCCAGCCAGTGGGAGCATAATCCATTAGAAATCGTCTTCGCTTAAGGAAGGAGATTTCAGGTGCCGTTTGACCAACATTTGGCGTGGTTTCAAAGCTGATGCCGGTTCGCTCCATGGGCCCAGTTAATGCTTTCGCACTAAAACAGGTTCGATGATGCCAAATGTATGCTGCAAAAGGTACGGGCGCAAGAACATGGTACGGAGCAATGGTGGCTGACGAGACGTCGATGCAAGCCGTGTATTGCACAACATCCGAGTACTGTTGGCAGTTGGAATCTACTGACAGCACTCGAAGCGATTTCATGTTCGGTCGTGTTGTTTCGGTAACTTTGCGCCTTCGCCTAGGCACGACAGCCGCGTTATTTCCGCCGCGTCGACTCGATATATATCGATTTACAGCCGCGTCGACTCGATATATATCGAGTCGACACGCCAGAAAAGAGGGACAATGCGCCGATAAAGTGAGGGAGAGGAGGCGAGAGTGGACGTCAGAACGCCGATCTCTGATTGGAACGATTAGTGGGTAGACCCAAAGATATAGCTGCCCTCGCCTCCACTGCGCTGGTCGAGCGCGTTAAAACGCGGAAGTTAGGCACTTAGCTTTAGGCCTGCTCACTAATCGTTCCCATCACAGCTGGGCGTTGTGCCGTCCTGCGCGTTCTGGTCTCTTCTTTCTCGGCGCATACATGCCTAAACTGAATATATGCCTGGATGTTGGCACTCTGCAAACGGCGTGCTTGCAGAGTTTATCGACGCTCTTCTCGGAGAGCGGACAGGACTCTCAGCGTGAAAGACTATAGCCAGCCTGAGGAACGAACAATTTGTACGCCTCATTTGGATGTACATTCTTAGGAGACGCCAAGGACCGAATACTCGATTGTCCTGAGAATGCAGAATTGCCGACGCTAACCCGGTAGATCGATAGGGAAAAAAAGTGGAAACGCCCAGAATTTAATTGAATGATAGGTGAAAACTGAATTAAGAACGGAAAACCATCAACTACTTGTTAAAGAAACACTGCCCCCACAACAATTTTTTTTTTAAATTTTTTGTGAGGCGATTTATTATGGTGTCGGAAGACTACCCAATCAATATTCTGCTACAGCGTCACGTATATTTTGAATAAAGTAAAAAAAAAGCCGCTTACAACTCCCTGTAACGCCGAATTAGAGCGCAGCTCTTGAGGAGGAGGAGGGAAGGGCACGGGGGGGGGGGGTAAACTAACCAGGGGGGGGTCACGTGACCCCCAATGCCGATGATGTCATCACTGACGTCACTGATGACGTCATCCGTGACGATGACGATGCGGGTACCGATGACGTCATTAGTGACGTCATCAGTGATGATGACGATGACGATGCGGATGCCGGTGACGTCGTCAGTGATGATGACGATGACGATGTGGATGCCGGTGACGTCATCAGTGATGATGACGATGACAATGTGGATGCCGGTGACGTCATCAGTGATGATGACGATGTGGATGCCGGTGACATCAGTGATGATGACGATGACGATGGGGATGCCGGTGACGTCATCAGTGATGATGACGATGACGATGCGGATGCCGGTGACGTCATCAGTGATGATGACGATGACGATGTGGATGCCGGTGACGTCATCAGTGATGATGACGATGACGATGTGGATGCCGGTGACGTCATCAGTGATGATGACGATGACGATGGGGATGCCGGTGACGTCATCAGTGATGATGACGATGACGATGTGGATGCCGGTGACGTCATCAGTAATGATGACGATGACGATGCGGATGCCGGTGACGTCATCAGTGATGATGACGATGTGGATGCCGGTGACGTCATCAGTGATGATGACGATGACGATCTGGATGCTGGTGACGTCATCAGTGATGATGACGATGACGATGTGGATGCCGGTGACGTCATCAGTGACGATGACGTCATCGGGGGGTCACGCGACATCGGCGGGGGTCACGTGACCTCGGGGGGTCACGTGACCTCGAGGAGGGGGTCACGTGACCTTGAGGAGGGGGTCACGTGACCTCAGGGGAGTCACGTGACCTCGGGGGGACACGTGACCCCCCACGAGGTCACGTGACCCCGGTGGGGGGCTCGCGCGGTGCATTATGGGACATTTCCCATGATGCACCGCGCGGTTACGCCGACGGCGACGCCGACGGCGACGGCGACGGCGACGGCGACGGCGACGCCGCTCAAGCCGGAAACGGGCCCCTAAGAGCTGCGCTCTAAAAAGAAAAACGCAACTGCTTCAAATTGAAACTGGACCGGAGGGGGGGGGGGGGGGGGGGGGGGGTGGAATATAGAGCAGGAGAACGGTACTGAACGTCACGTGGCTGTGCAACTTTTTTTTGTTTTTTTTTTAATCATCGTATTTGAAGTTTTTTTAGAAGCCACAAGAAATGGGTATCATGTTCTTTTTCCATATTTAATATTGACTGTGTGCTTTCGATGACCCCCCGCGACTTTGATTTTCTTTGGTGGTTGTGTCTAAACCATTGTAAACTGCACGTGACCACGGAGAAGAGAGCGAGTTCGACTCAAACCGGCCAGATCTCGATTGGCGGTTTTCGGGTGGAAAGAAACCGAATTTCGAGCCGCAAATTGTGTTCTGGGTAGTTGTGCTCTTATACGTCATGAGTCCCTTTTAAAAATCATCTGAAATAAAAATTTAAACTGTCTGGTTGGGACACGCATGTCGAGAAATGAATTTGAAGCGAAATTGTTTTTAAAGCTATATTGACGGCGCGAGATTTATTTGAAATTCTGCACGGCAAAGTCCATGACGTCACGGAATGGTCATGCACTCTTTCCATCTCAACAAGATGGTCATACGCTCTGTCCACCTCATCGTGATGGCCAAGCCGATCCACCTCTCCTCCACGCGCCCGAAATGCCGAGAGAGAAACCAAGCGGAAAGGAGGTGACTACCAACTAAATCGCACCTCGCACCGTCAATATTGCTCTAAAAAAGTTTGTTTCCGCGTAAAATTAATTTCTCGACTCGCGTGTCTATACCAAACTCTTAAAAAAAAAAGATTATTTTCTTTTTAGGGTTTTTTTGTTGTTTTTTTTTTGCGGTGAAAGTGAATTCCAGTTTCGGGATTTTTTTTTATTATGGAACTACTTGTTAAAAGTTTCAGATTTCTAGTTTTAAGAAAAGAATAGAATGTGAAAATGAATATTTAGGTAAATCAAATGTTATGGCGGATATTCGGAATAATATAAAGAAAACGACGGTTGATAATAAAAAAATAAGGATTATTTTATTCACCCAGGCTATAAATTGGTGTTTTGTTTTAAACCAAACCATTCTTGTAAAACGTAACCTGGAATTTTTTTTTATTGCTTTTAATTTAGTTTTTACTTGTTGCACTGCCGTATACCTGCCACTAATGGTTAGGGATCGGATTCACATTTATTTCAGAACGTATTTAATTTGATTTAATACACTGGCTATTTCGCTGTACATTGCTATGCTATCGAGTGCGGCTTCACCATCGGAGCGATGCCACATCAAATATGCGCGCATCGCCGCCCTATCACTTTTTTTTTCTTTTAATTTAGCCGGAAGAGTCGATGCTCAGGAGAAAGGTAGCGAAAGAAAGCGCCACCGTCGCGTGGCGCCCTCCAGTGGGAGTAGCGGCACCTATGAGAATGCGTTCCGTGTCCAGCTTCATCCAGAAGGTGGCGTAGTTCTGCACAACTGTTGCCCTGCAGAGCAAGGACACAGTCTTGGAGTCCGGAATCCGCGCTCGCTGGACCTTTCGGATTTAGTGAGGTTATCCGAAAGGGCTAGCTTAAAAAGCCTGAGCAATAGGACAGACATAACGATAAAACCAGCCGATAAAAGAGGAGCAATTGTGATTCTTAGCACTTCTGAATACATCCGAGAAGGATACCGCCAACTAAATGACTCAAAGTTTTATGAACCTCTCGCAGATGACCCTACGGTGTATGACACTCAGATTGTGACCTCGGTTTTTAAGGATCTCCTAGACGAGTGCAGAATGACCGCTAAAGAACATAAAAATAATGAAACCAGTACAGCCTTCCCCGGGCCGCTCCTACATGCTCCCTAACATTCACAAACCTGGTAACCCAGGGCGCCCAATCATATCTGGAATAGGTACAGTAACCGAACCTATATCAGGATATGTAGACAGTTTAATTGAACATATACCTACAAGTCTTGATTCGTACATTAAAGACACAATTCACTTCTTAAGGGAAATATCGAATTTATGCATACCAAAAGAATCATATATCTGGTTACACTCGGTGGGTCATCGCTGTATACGAATATCCCACACGATGATGGAATAATTTCTTTAATTGACATGTACGAACTCCACAAACAACCGGATGACCCAGTCGAACACGTCGTCGCTACTTTAGCGAGGCTTGTCTTAGACCTCAACACGTTCGAATTTAACAATGAATACTTTAGGCAGGTTAGCGGAACCGCGATGGGCACCAAAATGGTCCCGAACTATGCCAACGTATTCATGGGAAAATTAGAATCGCAGTTCCTTTCTGAATGTCCGGTAAAGCCGCTAATATACAAAAGGTTTATAGATAAAATATTTAATATCTGGTCACACACTGAGGAGGAGCTGGTGGACTTCATAGGTCGATACAACATTGCTCATCCGAACATCCGCTTTGCACATTCGTACTTTTAAACCGAAATAAACTTCTTAGATGTCAACGTTAAAATAGACGAAGGAAAACTCGCCGTGAGCCTGTACCGTTAGCCAACAGATCGACAGCAATACCTGCATTATCAAAGCGACCACCCACACCATTGCAAGAACAGCATTCTCTATAGCCAAACTCAACGTTTCAAACGAATTTGTTCCAAAGAGACAGCTTTTGATGCGAGCAGCCAAAATTTAAAGTCGGTGCTTTGTTCCAAAGAGACAGATTTTGATGCGAGCAGCCAAAACAGTCAGTGCTCGAGAAACAAAAGTATCCACCCCGTATTGAGGAGTTTCAGCGAATATAGGGGGCGCTCCGATCGATCCAACATGGCGGACAAGAGGGGGATAGATTTGCGACGCCCGTAGACCGGTAGCGTATAAATAAAACAAAGCGTGTAGTTCTCTGTTTGTTGCCGTGTGCGAGACGATCATCGTTTCAACCAAGACCTACCGTGATGCTACAGATGAAGTCTTCAAGCCAGTTGAAGGCAAGAAATCTTGCCAGAGTCAAGATATGTGTGCAAGTGTTCGACGTGAGCTCTCACTTCTGGTGCAGCTGTCATCAAGTTGAACCGAATGTACGCGGGTCCAAAGAAAGGTACATATCAACAATGTTCGCGCGTTGAAACTATGACGCGTACTTTATCTAATACTAAACTTATCGGTCTGCGGCTACAAACATTTTCGTTGACGTTGCTTAGATGATGTAACCATTCAGGCCTCGCATTAAAAGGTGTCGCGACCTCTTCGGTTGTTCTAGTTAATTGAGCAAAAAAGCGGTTGGATAGAAAGTATGACAACTGCAGCATATAAGGGACGATTGAGGTCTTTATCCTGCGTATCGAAACATCGGTATCCTTGGTGTTATCTTGCGATCAGCTGGTCGCCTGTCGTCCTGTTTTTACGCGTAATGTAAACAATCCCCGGAAGTGCCAATCTCATTTCTATGTGCTTTTGCACCCCTACAAGCCTCGTTTCGGCTCTTGTGGAAAGCTTTATTGTAATAGCAATAGTCTCATCGGTCATTCGAGTTGTATGTGCCACGGTGATATCTGCTGACAAACAAGTCTGTATTAAATGCAAGAAGGAGAACGAAGGTAAAGCTTTTTTAACTGTTTTCTTTTTACAGAACAGGGCAAAGCTTCTAAAACAAGACCAAACTAAGCTGATATTTGAGTGTGCTCAAGAATGAATGCCAAAGGTGCTTATGCTAAGTGGTAGATGTATGCAGTTGATTTTCTGTTTGCCTCTGCATTGTAAATTGGAAGATATGTATCAGCAGAAGACACATGTCCTTTTGGAAATGTCTTTTATTAGGGCAAAAATAGGTTTTCATACACAACCGAAGAGTCGCAACACCATTTAATGCGAGGCCTGAATGGTTACATCATCTAAGCAACGTCAACGAAAATGTTTGTAGCCGCAGACCGATAAATTTAGGTTTAGATAGGTATGCGCTATAGTTTCTGCCTCAAACACGCAACATTGTTGATATGCACCTTTCTTGATGACAACTGCACCAACGTGAGAGAGCCCACGTCGTCGAACACTTGCACACATATCTTGACTATGGTATAACAAGATTTCTTGCTTGAAGTGAAGATCATCTCGCTACGACTAGCTACGACCACCCACCGCAGCGATGCAGGCGTCGAAGGGGCGCAACGCAGTCAGTCGCCGTCACCCGACGCAGCTCGTTTGGCATTCACAGCTTTCCGCCCAGGTGCTTCGTTTGTACTTGGCACCGAGTGTTATTTTCTGTGCTTATGTGTGCTCCGTGGCTAGATATGGGCCTCAAAAGCAGTTCTTCAGGCTCAATAGCGTTCACCGAAGAACTTCTGAAGAAAATGCCACCCAGGAAAAAAAGCACGAAGACACAACGCACCAGCTTGGCGGACTATGCACTGGGCGCGGAAATCGGGCCCTGCGGATTATACAACAAATGCAAACTATCTAAACAAAACAAACATTTTTAGGCTCAAACTGACTACTGCGGACTATACGCCTGGACACTGGTGCCTGTTATTATGCATCGTATATTCACTGCTGTTTGTTGTGGCTTGACACTGCCTTACTGTAATGATGCAGAGGGGTCCACTGAATCCTGAAATAAAGATATTTGAGCACATCTAGATGCAATGCCCCTTGAAGCCAGATGGTCAGAAAAAAGGTGTGCCATTATCTAATTTGCCAACAACAACTCACCGAGTCAATGGGCAGTTTTTCACCACAACATTTATTGCCGTGTAATCACCAATTTGGTCCATTAAAAATCTTGAGGCTGTAGCCTATAGCACATCTATTCTGGATCTGCAAAGTTTATGCTGTAGGCATGCATCAGCACATCAGCATGTTTCTTATCAATCTTAAACGTAAAACGCTAGTTATGCAACGAAATTCCCATATCATCACATTTTTAGCAAATTGAATGGTCCCACCTGTCACACTGTTAGCTTTGGAAGTAAACCAATTCACAATACCACCAGTGGCAAACATCGTGCCAAGCATTCGTGCCGCATGTAGCACAAAAATGTCCTAACTAGGGAAGCAAACTTAATCGATCGTGTTGATTAAAGCACTTAAGTACGGGAGAAATTATCAATCAGAAGGTCACTCGAAAGGGAAGTTTTCTCGCTGAACGAATATGACTTTTTATTGGGCGTTCCGCAATGTAAGGCCAAAGACATTCACTCCGTGATCGGTACAGAAGCATTTGCTTAGCAGTCGGTCGTGCGTGCTAAAAACAACAAAAACAGAGGTGGATTAGAAACGCGATAGATTCGCCTTTGCACGGAGTACTTACACTCAAAATCGTGTCAACATAAAGCGACTATGGCCCACCTTGCTAGCACCAATCTTAAAATTTATCCGTGTAGTCGTCGCAGCCGTGCACCAACCGAAAGCGTTGCCGCAAGCCCTTCCGCCGTCAACTTTGAATCGCTGTTGAGTCTGAAGAACTGCTCTATGAGGTCCATACCCAGCCACTGAGCACATACACAAGCACAGGAAATAATACTCGGTTCCAAGTACAAGCGAAGAACCCGGGGCGGAAAGCCCTGAATGCCGAACGATCTGCGTCGGGCGACGGCGGCTGACTGCGTAGTACACAGGTTGCGCTCCTTCGACGCCTGCATCGCTGCGGCGGGTGGTCGTAGCTGGTCGTAGCAGATCGTGTCAGCTCTATTGCTCGTACCGGAACACTAGAGCCGCGTAATATTCCTGCTGCCGAAGTTTATAAGCCTACGTTCGCGGCCAACACATATACACAAAGCCACCGCCCAGCGAACCTATCCCCCTCGTTCTCTTTCGGCGACCGGCCGCCAGGGCGGTGACACCGTCGCTGAAACTCCTCAATAATCGACGATGCACTCGGAAAAGCCAAGCAACTAAACCGAGCAGACCTTATCAGCCCGCGCTCCACGCAAAGCGACACACAACGCACAAATCTATATCTAACTGATAGCATGAACCATCCTAATGTAAATAATATCTTAAGACGACATTATAACATTCTCGAACAAAGCGAGCGCCTTAAACGCGCGTTTCCACCCGCCCCTTGGGTAGTCCACAGACGATCACGTAACCTCAAAGACGCGCTAATAAACTCTCGGATAAATTCATCGCCACCACCTAACGAATGTAGGCCTTGCATGCACCCAGGATGTCTGATCTGTAAACAGATGCCGCACACAAACACGGCCAGCAGCACGCACTCGCAGTTCTCGATCAAAATCAAAGTGCACTTAATATGTGCCTCGTCGAATGTCGTGTACTTATTCGAATGTACAATGCAAAATGCAATTAGAACGGCATTTAGACTGCGCTTTAATAATCACCGATTTCACTCCATAAATCTTCCGACAGTGCCTCTATCCAAACATCTCGGTCTCCCAAAACACTCGTTTGATAAATTGTCAGTGACGCTTCTATGTCTGGATTTAAATCAAATTGCGAACATGAACAGCGTGAATCCTACCTAATTTACCGATTCAACGCAATTAAACAAGGAATAAATGAAAACCCCGGTACTCTGGCATCGATTAAAATGCTAACAGACGAATAGCAACAGCGATTAGGGGGCATTTTTTCAGGAAACGGGCGGGGGCGGTGGGATTCCCCCCCGCCCCCGCCCGTTTCGATCTGGATGAGTTTCGTACCAGCACGCATTCGTGTAATCACTACTGCGTGATGCACGTTAAAAATCCCAGGTTAGCGGTTGTACTGCACTGGCTCATCTACAGCTAAGAGACCGATTACCCGTCGTGGCGTATCTCCATCAAGGCTGTTATAAACATACAGAGCAAACCAATTTTTCTGCAAAAATTCTTCCTGACTCCGGCCGAAACGTCGAAGAGTAAACCGTCCGTTGTTGCTGTTTTCACCAAGGTTTTTTTTCTTCCCAGTTATATATATATATATATATATATATAAAAGGACACGATGACGTTTTCTAACCAGCTGGTCCGCATGCTTTCGCTTCTTGCAACTCGAAATGTTCTTGCGCACATGTGTGGAGGAGTGCGATTTCCAGAGGGGGCGGAGGAATTGGTCGGCGCGTGCCTGTCGCGCGTGGGTTGGCTCCTCACCTGAAGAAGATCCGAACGATGTCGGGGCTGCGCTCTCGCGGACGCCAGGTGACCGAGATCTGCCGCTTCTCGTTAGGGCCCACGTGGGTCGCGGCACTCTGCGAAGCGGTACACAAGGCTCCGTCTTTTGGAAGGCCTCGATGCTTCCGCCAAACACTATACCGTCGAGACCGCTTATAACGAAGTCGGTTATAACAAAATAGCGGTTACAGCAAATGATCACGATTTCCCATTTCTTTTTGCACTTCGTTATAATCGAAGTCGGTTATAACGAAATAGCGGCTACAGCGAAGCGATCACGATCTCCCATTCCCTTTTGCACTTTGTTATAACCGAAGTCGGTTATAACGAAATAGTGGCTACAACGAAGCTATCACGATTTCCCATTCCCTTTTGCACTTCGTTATAACCGATGTCAGTTATAACGAAATAGCGACTACAGCGAAGTGATCACGATTTCCCATTCCCTTTTGCACTTCGTTATAACCGAAGTCGGTTATAACGAAATAGTGGCTACAGCGAAGCGATCACGATTTCCCATTCCCTTTTCCACTTCGTTATAACCAAAGTCGGTTATAACGAAATAGCGGATATAGTGAAATGATTTCCGATTCCCGTTGACTCTGTTTTAATCGGTCTCGAAGTAGTTTGTTGCAGCCAAATAGGTGGCCGTACGGGTCGGGAAAGGTCAAAGGAGTGCGGAACGGCACGGCTACAAGGGTCCACGACGACCTGGTTAGCCGTTCGGAAGAATTAACCCGCGGTTACATCGTTAGCACAAAACACTGTCTAAATAAGGGGAAAACGCCAACCAATCTCTAGAAGAAGGTGTCGGTGCAACGTGTCGGTGCCGGCTCAGCACCTCCTTCCCGGGGGGGGGGGGGGGGGGGGGGGGGGAGGGGGGGGCGGGTGCTATTCAAAAGAGAAGCAGCTTCTTTCTTTTCTTCTGCGGTGAATGTAGAGCAGCATCTTATCTGCTGTACAATCACCGAAGATACTGCTCTACACTCACCGCAGAAGGAAAGAAAAAAGCTGCTGGGTGTTTTCTTAAGTGCACTACTCCAAATTTCATTAATGTTTATGGTTGGATATTGAGATATCGCTAGCGATAAATAGAAAACCTTACATAGGCCTAGTAAGGTACGTTGTTGGGCTAGTTGGTTCATCTTAGTAAAACATATAAAATAGCGCAACAGAAACAAGGACGCTTGTTGCGCTATTTTATATGTTTTTAATAGGCCGAAATTCTGCTCAGCAGAGCGTCTGTGCGAAGTCCCGTTCAAAAAGGTCATAGCACGAGATTCGAGTTCTAATAACGGCCGTACAAGCAATATATTACAATTTTTGTTGGTAGTTCCTTATAGACTACTATATTGCCTAACTGTGAATAAAAAACAAAAAAAAAAATAAAAGTTTTTTTTTTTTAGAAAATTGACTTTAAACTTGCTAGTTTTTTTAAATATACGTTTTTCAGGCAAATGTTGCGCATTACATATTTAACGCAAAATATTCAAATTATTTTCAAAAGAAAGAGCTTAATTGGAGCTTTACGGTGATGTAAAGATCACAAATGTATTATGATTAGGTCAGACAGTACAGCTTGCAGAACTTCGTCAAATATCGTTGCAAAGAGGCGGTTTGACAATTAAAAAAAAGAACAAAAAAAAAACATGAAGGATCTTATGACCTAGGCGCTTAATTAGCATAAAAAAAACATATCTGGAGTGTGTTTCCAAAAATTTGTTTTGATGTAGCGTAAAAAGTAGGGAAAAAGGACGGAGTGAAATATGGCGGCCCCGATATGATGGAAGAACGTCAGCTTCCACCTTGGCCGCTTCAACGGTCGATAACTTGAGAACAAAAACATCCGACAAACTCGCCGTTTGCGTCTTCTTTTATTATATGAATCGCCCAAGAACATGTATTCTTTTCACAAAAAGTTAAAATTTGACCCAAAATGCGTGCCTGAGTTGAGATGAAATCACCTTGCTTCTTTTTCCTGAAGCAGGTGCCGAGCCGGCACCGAAACGTTGGGCCCTACCTTCTTTTGGGGATTGATTGGCGTTTGCCCTTTATTTATAACGTTTAATCCAACCAGGCAGACGTCTGCCGAAATGTTCACCTTCAAAAAGACGGTCTGCAGACATGATTGTAACATGCTTGACACCTGTCCCCGCAGATAATTCTCTCGTTGTGTGTACTGCAGCGAACAGAGCCGTTAGTACCATATGTGGGTGGAGCGAGTGGGGCTTCGTGAAACAGCTGCTGTCGCGGGATGGAAGGAGAAAGGGGACCTCCCACGGGCACTCGATCACACCCGGCCAGCGCGCCTCGCCTGACCTCCTGGCAGGACAGTTCAACGCCCAGAGAACCTCTAGGTGCTCTCCCACTCCAGACCGATGAGAAACGAGTGACAGGTTCAAAACACGCCATTTGCCACCCCCCCCCCCCCCCCCCTTTTTCCAGATACCCCCAAAGAAAGACAGAAAAACTACAAACGACTTGCAGTGTTTCCAACCTTCAAAAAGTAATGGTAAAATAGACTCGAAATAAAGAGATGGTGTCCTCGAGGCGGACGTCAGATGAAACGGATCATTAGTGATTTGGAGCGTAAACGCGTAAATATCGATTTAATTACCTAAAATCTCCTAACTTTCAAAATACTCACCTGTGGTGACATATTCCAATTGGAGAGATGTTGACCGCGGTCAGAATACGGCACAGTTGTTGTTAGAACTCCCACAGCTAAATTATGATCCGGGCTATTCTCTGGCAAAAACACAGCCAGCATGAACGTACCTTTAACATAAGTATCTTTGCAACCGGCGTATCAGCCAGAGTTCTTGGGTTGCGAGCACATATACCACGCGCGGAGGATCGCGAACTGATTCTCCGCCGATCATAAAGGTACCTTAGCTAAAGGGGAACTTTATGATTGTGTGAACGGGGTATAATCATACTGGAACGGAACCAAAAGAGGGCGGAATTCCCATCCGGAATCAACGTCGCCCTCTGCGGCGTGTGCAGTCATACTCGCTTCGTAACGCTTTCATACGGGTATAAGTGCGGCTGTATTGACGTACCTGTAGGGCACGCCTTTTCGTGGTCTATCTAGCGTTTTCTCAGCCTGCAAATTACAGGCGCCAGCTGGGGTGAAAACTAAGTTGGGGGTTGTACACGATCCCCTCCAGAAGTAACTGAACACAGTTACTCGTTAGCTGGTCCAAAACTAACACGTGTTACTCGTTCCTTTTCTTAGAAAGTAACTAGGTCGTTAGTTCATTAGCGAAATAAGTAAGTAGGTTCGAATAATGCGTTACTTGTAACTTGTAAGGCGTTACGTACAAGCTTGGTGCACGACGAGCGAAATCAGTTTTCAGAGCCACAGCCCGGTTTGACGCCGAGCGAGTTTTGGTACCTTTAAAAAGGATCCAATTCTTTGTCATCTAACAAGCAAGAACCGACCTCGTCGGAGGGACCAAGTGCTCTTCCCAAACTGTAAGCTTTTCGCACGGTTAATTGAACAGAGCCCCGAAACTGAGGACTTAACGGGAGAACAACGCGGTCTCGAACCCAGTGCTGTGTCTAATAGCTCGGTGTGTTGTCCCGCTCATTACTATTAACCTTCATTACCTCGTTCGTGCCTAATCTCTCGCCAATCCCCTTGGTCCCTTTGGTTTGCATACGAACGGCCGTGGACGAGGCTCGTCTCCGGCAAGTCGCGGTTGGGCCGACGATGGCATCGCGAGGCACCCTCGCTTTCGCTTCTTGACCAGCTTTCCGTACGAACGCGCTTCGCTCCGGCTGGCTCCAGCCGATCAAGGCTCAAACGAGCTTCTACAGAGCTGGATGACGCTGCCTTTGTGCACACGAACACATGGGCCCAAGTCTGCCTTGTGCATCAGAACGCAGGACCGACCGAAGGAGTAAAGGCGCTGGAGCAGACGTACGTTCTCGACGCCGTCGCAGGCGATGAACTGGACGTTTGGGTATGCGGCGTCCTTCTCGAAGCGGCCCCCGTGGTATGCGAGCGAGGATCCCTGCACGCGCATGGCTCGGATCAGGAAGCCCCTGAACGAGGTCTGGTTGTTCAGCGCCATCAGGGTGACCCGGAGCTGCTCGCCCTGCAGCCGGTCCACCACTATCTGGAGGAAGGTGCCCGCTCAGCGATGGCATGCATGGTAGCTCTCTTCCGCGAAACACCAGATGCCGCGTCTACCACAGCGTTCGTAAGGCGTACTTATAAGCACTTTAACACGAGGTGTGGGTCAAAACAACTTGTCGTGTGCAGTTAACAAGAGTTCTGTCAGGGCGAGAGGAACCTTGTGAACGCTCGCCAGTGAAGCGCACAGTTATGGCCGCCAGTGAAAATACTTCGTTTCAGCATAACTTAGCAAAGAGGAAACGCTCTGCAGCCCACTCGAGAGAATCGGAGGAGCAAATCAGCTCTGACAGCTTTGTTCGGGTCTGCACTCGTAACTTATACGTTGTTACCTGCCCGCTCCTGTGCTCTGATTGGTTCGCTGGCCATAGGTTTCGCTATCTGTCAAATTACGAACTGCTTCTCGAAAAACGCCGACGGACTGTTCGATAATAATCCCCGGAGAAGGGGAACAAAAGGGACAAAGGACATACACAGATCTCCAAATATTCGGTTTTTATCGCTTATTCGATTCGACGCCCCTTTTTGGCGGGTGGCTGGGTCGATGGGATCTCGACTATAACGATTCAACCGTCTCTTCGGTGTTTATCCTTATTATAACCCCCAGTGCTTATCGATCAGCAAATCTTGGTCGAAAAATCATTGCTCTAGGAAAGGAACGAAAGTAATTCCCTGCGTTCGGTAGCACGGACTGCACGGCGTGCAGTCCGCTATAAACTTTGCAACCCCTGTAGTGGTCAGAAGGGGCCCTGTCAACGTCCGTGTCCTACGTTGTGCTCTAAAACACTGAACGTATGGCTGCGAGTGGGTTCTGAGTGTGTTTACATTTCAGGAGTATGTAACTTGTGCTGTAGTCTGTGTGGTTCATATTTCTAGATACTTCTGGAGCAAAGATCAGTAGTTGACTTCCAATAGCATTTTTCACAATTTGACCCGTGATAACTGCTTCACATTGTCGGCGTAACTGTTTGGCAACGTGGACATATATTCTTCTTTATATATATGTATTTTCTTTTCGCGTGGATTTCGACTTCGTTAGATATATGTATGGTGGCGGGAACGAGAGGGTACCAAGGAAGGTGGTGTTGACTAGCCACTTGGGCTTTGACCCAAAGCCACTTATGTTTCGCTTGAGCGAAACGTTTACAGAGGGAACAATAATGGCAAAGGTGAACTTCTCAAAGTAAATTTGCGCAAATCTCAAAGGGAAGATGGCGTCCACTTTCGTTAACTGGCGCCATTCGGCTCCATGTATTCCAGGGGACACTGTATGGCTGGGATAGGACGCGAAGCACAGCAGTCGCATAGGCGTTCCAGGAGCCCTGTGTGGCTGCCCACCTGGTAGTAGTGGTGGCTGTGCATGACCTCCTTGTCGTGGCGAGGCTCCATCTCGTTGCAGGTGGTCACGGGGGCACCCTTCCGGTGGGCCCAGCGAGGCGGTGGCGACAACGTAATCAGGCAAACGGCGACCCGGGCGGCCCACATGCCGGAACACGGGACCAGAAGACTAAGGCCTGCGCATGATGTCATCCTTAGTGGATCCCCCACACAGCCCCAAGCGGCAGATGCGTCCGTCTTGGCGTCCCCAGGTGCTAGTGTCGCGCGCGTTGTGAGGCGCTCTGAAACGCACTGGGGCGCTACGTGAACCCACTAATGATGACGTTTGGGAGTGAAAGGCCTAGGTGGTGTTGGCCTGGTCGTGTAGAGACGCGACGACCTGTCCAGACACCAAGAGGGGGGCGCCAAGAGAGGCTCGCGACTCTTCTCCGTTTAACGAACAGCAACTTTGACAGCGTTTCACGAAACGCTGTCAAAGTTGCTAATGCGAACGTCTGGCTTCCCCTAGCGTTGTCGCACGCCCAGACTTTCGCCTGTTGGATGGACGTCGCATCTTCAGCACTCGACTGCTTGTCCACGGGCTCCAAATCTTTCTCAACTTTACTGTGTTAGTGTCTTTTTGCGACCGTCCGCTAGTTACTAAAACACGTTCGTTTTTACTAATTAAAAAAAATAATTAACGTGTTAATCATTAGTATTATCGTGACGATTAGATCCCTGTATTATGTCCTCCTGACCGTGTAAGTCATCTGCACTACCGCATTACTGTGTATCATTTGTGGCCTTCCAACCTTTTGAGGCGTAAATTTTGAACCCCCAATTTCTTTTTTTTTTTTTTTGTTGTTAAGAGCAAGTTGAATTAAACACTACATTCACGGTTGTTATGGCAAAATTATCAAGGCTGTCCTTGGTTCACTCAACGAATGCGAAAAACAGTGCGACGCTTCGACACGGGCTCCTGGTCAATGCCATTTTCAGCTCAGTTTCGTGCGTATGGCAGGCACGTGATTCGCTCGCTTTAAGAAGCGACGAACATGCGCGTGCTGGGCAGTAGAGATCGCACGCTGGGCTGTGGGTTTTTAAACACAATGTTCCAGAAAACTACCGAGATGCCAAGCGGGCGATACGGCGCCGATGGCAAAAACAGCGCCGATGGCTAAGGTCCTTGGATAAAGTTAATGCTCGGCGCTTTTTAGCAACTCTAATCTATACTTCGTTTCAGCTTCGGTCCGAGCGCGGCCGATGTTATGAGGCGAAGAACCAATCAAACAGCGCGAAAAGCGCAACGTCATGGCGTGCTCTCTGTGCCTGATAGGACTAGCCGGCGGAGGAGCAGGCACAGAGATACGGCGAATATCGGTTGGTCCTATCAACTGCAGAGAGCACGCCATAACGTTGTGCCTGTTTCGCTGTTTGATTGGCCCTCCGGCTCATAACATCGGCGGCGATCGGACCGAAGCTGAAACGAAGTATAGTAAATTTGATTTTTAAGTATCGACCGCCACTGTTGTACGAACGTTCGGGCATAGCCTCCCAGATACTGACAAAGCCTGGCAGATCGCCACAAGAAGCGGCCGCCAAAATAGAAAAGGTGGAGCGGCAGACAACGGTTGAGTAAAGCCCCTCTTATCCTGGGAAAAGTGGCGCCATTCATAGTTGTGAAAATGCTCGAGGCACGTGCCGCGCCCCACTTGTGGGAAGAGCAGAGCGTCTGAAATCTAGCTCAGTGCTGCGCTGTGCCGCCATGACCTTCCCAAGGGCTGCACGTTGCACGTGCCTCGTGCATCGGCGCACCTTGCGCTACATTTGAAACATGTGGGGGCTTTACGGATGAGAGGAGAGCCACGTGACTGGCACACCTCTCTTAGCAAAGAAGTGTGTTTCGGGTCCTCGCCGCTGCAAAAGCTATGCGCTGACGTCCAGGTTGCCCGAGAAATGGCTCTTTCATGCTCTGTGCTACCAGATCCTCGCGCTCCAAATCTGCGACTTCTCTATGACTCCGTCGTCATCGGCCAGGCTTTGTGAGTATAGAGGAGAATATGGTTCAGACCATGTGCCACGAGCGAGCGCTGCACCACCATTTGCTTCCAAGGCCCGCACGGGGCACGGACATCGTGCATTGGCGCATTTGACGCTATGTTTGCAGGACAACCACAAGCACACCAGGGGGCTTTACTATAGAGCGTGTGACTTTTCGGTTTCACCTGGGGCTTGCGGAGCGTAAGGCCTCGTGGTATAATCTTAACGCTAGTCGCTGGAATGGCTGGTATACACCTTTTTTTTTTATAAGGGTTCAGTCATCTTGGATGTTGCAATTCACTTGGTGCCCTAATCTACACGGCGGGACCAATTGGGAGCGGCACATAGCCGCCTGCTGCGATTGGTCAGCATTGTGGAGCTGGCCAATCGCAGCAGGCGGCGCGATGTCCCGGAACCTTGGTTCCGTCGTGTATAGATTATACGGCGCCTGGTATGCGTTAAAACATCGTTTTGATCTCTCCACGCCGCTGGAAAGTGTTCACAAAAAATGAGCAATTTTCACATATTCATGTTTTGCCTCAGCTATATTTTTTCGCACATTCAATCGTGAAATGCTTTTTTTTTATCGCCCCACATATCAGGTACGAAATTCACGTGACTGAAAACGAAAGGAAAGGAAAAACGTCTATAGCTCATGGCGTCGTCCGTGGTCTACTTGAAAGCGAAAACGCGGCGAGCGGCGGTGAGACATTGCGAGTAGCCATGGCATCACTTCGTCAAACATCCGCCACCTCTCATTGGTCCTAGTCTTTGTGTGGTGCAGCAGACAGAAATCTCACACAGACCATCCTCAGGTAAAACGTATAAAAACTGAACTCGGCGGTGTCGAGCCAAGGACACGTGCCGCGAGTCGCCGTCTGTGCAAGCTCGCGAAAACAGCAGCAACAACAGATGCTCTGGCTTGGTGCATTTGATGCTGGGGTGTCGCCATCTCGTTGAACCCGTTGAAAATAAAACTAGCGAAAGCTGCCCGGCCAATTTTATTTACACAAATACGCGAGTACCAAGCCATCTAGTCTTCCCAACAGGGTCTTAAAATTAGAAGAGAAGACACCTCTAGTATGAACTACCATTCGTTTTGCCGCTTTTCTCTTCTAAGTAGTTTTCATATCACAATTGTCTCAAAATGCTCGCAAAAAAGTGAAAATGCTCATATTTCTGGATTTTATTAAAAATCTGCAGCGCTCTAGGGCAAAATTCCAAGGGTCGCGCGACCTTAATTACATATTCGAAATAAACCTAAAAAAAATCAATACTCTTGTTTACTGCTGAAACTCAGGTTTGTGTATTGAAATTTGGCCATTGAGTGACCTGGTCCTTTGCGCCCTTACATTCAGTTCGGAAAAAGTCTCGAGCCAGCTTCTTTTTCTTAACATTGCCTGTGTAATCCATAGAAAATCGCGCTTGTAAAAATGATACAGGATCTCTCACTTCCTTCCAAAACTCCAAAAGGCCTAGAGGTATTCCACAGACACTCGTGACTGACATCATGAGCATGGAGTTTGATCGATCTGGGGCACCCAAGAAAGCGTGGCCTTGATCGCGTAGAAATAGGAAACGCGAAACTAGTTGCCGAACAAACAGGTAAGAAAGTCCCCAAAACCTGACAGGGCAGAAGCCTGTGCGCATACTCTTCCAGTCGGATTTCAAGGTAAGCTGGCAAGGACTCTGTGGACATGTGGATGCAAAGACTCGTACCATGTGTTTCGCAGCAAGAAAGCAGCCGCTGACCGTGGCACGTGCCAACCAGTCCTGTCCAACTCGTTGTTTTTGTTTTTAAATCTTCTGAAACCCAGTACGACGTACTGAGCCTATAATGTTTTAGATAGGTTCTAGGGGTCCAGTTTATACCTTCAAAAGTAGCAGGTTTTGAGGCCCCGTCCAAAAGCCTCAACACTTCCCCAACCTCCACGGTTTCCGCAAAACTGTTTTCGTCACGACGAAAAAAAAAATGGCAACGTTGTGCGCGTATAAACACATTCTCTTCGACCCCGTTTAGAGAGTAGCCTCGGATATTTTTACGGGCTGAGACTTTCAAACAAAAGGGTTCGAAATACAATGCAAAAAGTAAGGGCGCCAGGCGAGACAGCCCTGTCGTTCTGATGTTTTCACTTCAATTTGTCTCGATACCCCTAGCATTGTCCCTCAAGTTCTTCTAAGCCAAGCTCACACCCTTCGAATTTATCTGCCCACGCTTACATGTGAAGCAACGCGATAGCTAAACATATAAACTCCCGCTCGTTCCCAATCCGTGCAAGCGTGCCTTGCGTAACCTAGTCTGTAGCGTGTCTAGCCCGCAACCGAAGGGTCATGGTTCGAATCCAGACTAAAACTTTTCGAATATTTTCTTTAAAAAAATGAATTAATTTACGGGTTAATTAACTGGAGCATGAGGGAAATGAAACTATACAGCCTAGAAAATCTAACAGGGGGTGGTTTTTCCTCAAACCTGCGTGTAAAACTCTACGAATGATTGCTCGATAACTTGCTGGTGCATATCGACAGTGCATATCTTTTTTTGTCTGATAAGGCTCTTTTCGAGGGTTGATCGGCAAAAACTTTTCTCCAGTCCGCGATCGAACCACTGCTCCTTTGTATTTATCTTGATTAAGCATGGCTTAGTTGTTAGTTCTGCTTTAATATCCTTATTGCCCTCAGCGACTACTCCAGATGGTAAAGTGCATGGAGGTTCCGTTGAAGTAACCTTTCACGAGCCTTGCGCTGGGAATTTATGTTACATGACCTTTCAGCTGTTGCCAGTTTCACTGCCTGCTTAAACTCCCACCATCTGTCACTGGGATCATTGTCTCTTTGACAAGCTGCACGCAGCAACTCTGTCACGGTGCCAATAAAATTTTCTTCATTAAGTAAAGGCCGATTCATTTTCCACGGGCGCCAAATAAACCACGTAGTGATGTTTTTTTAAATATATTTTGAGAGATACGAAGCAATAGTCGGAGATAAAGACTGGATGTACACGATAGTCATGCACTAATCATAAAATTTCGCACGATATAGATTCGGTGAAGGCGGTCGTGAGATGGAGCCTGAAAACAAGCATATCGTAAGGCGTGCGTTGGCCCGCGTAATGCGCCGAAGTCATCAAG